AGAGAGAGAGAGGTGAGAGAGAGAGCGAGAGCGAGAGAGCGAGAGAGAGGGTGAGTGCGAAAGAGAGAGACGCGGCTCTTTCCGTAATTCGGGGTGAGCCGGTAGGGTCGATTAACGGGGCCGTGATTCACCCGTTAGATCGGTAAGGAGGAAGTACGCTCGCTCGCGCGCCGCGGACCCGCGCGATTAACGCTTCGATCGCTGCTTCCTTAATCCCCGCAGTGGAGTTCTCGAAATAAGTGTTTCACCTTGTTGATTCTCGTGATGATTTTTCGTCTCGGAAGATGAAACCGTTTCTCCCAGTGTAAACTTCCCTCTACCTCTCCATCACTTCTGTGAAACTGTCCGACAAATTCGCACACGCTCGACGGGAGTGCGCAGGACAACGACACACCGCGGATGTATAACGCTCACGTCGTATTCTTCAAGGAATTATAATCATGTGAGAGAAATATATATTTCTATATCTGTCTTGCGCGTCTTCCTCGTCATAAAACAATCTACGTGTGACGCAGATCTGTTTAACGTTAAAGAAATTCAATTATGTATATTAAATCATTAAGTGGAAGTTATAATTAGGATTTAAAGTTCAGCAAAGTTCGCGGATTATAATTGCGGCTGCTCGTTAATTCATACACTCTTGACGAAACTTCATTCATATTTCTTCTTCGGCGTTTCCTTCTGTTACTTTTTTTGCACGCGCGCGCGCACCCTTTATCACCTCATATTCTTCTTAGTGCGTCGCTGTGATACGTTAAGCGTAAACTAGTTCCGCGGCATTCAAATTCAAATGCACTCGGGCTCGTTCCATGCTGGCGAATCTGTTACACGCATTTGTCCGGTTCAACACCGATGTACCGTATTTTACAATGTGTTATAATCATGTTACCACAATGTTGCTGCAGATAACATACGCATCGTGAAACGCTCGTCCGCGGATATATAATACAATCCATTTGCAGCAACACACAGGATGTCTCAGAACTATCGCGTTTCAATTTCTATGACAAATTTAAAAGAGCTTTCCTCCTGGTAAAAATTTGAGCAGCTTGCCGCATTAAATATTTCGATTAATTAAGCCTTAAACTTCTCTTCAGCCAAAGTTCGCTTAAAATTAAGTAAAAAATAAGATTTCGTTATCTGCTTCCGTCATTGAAACTCAACGCGCCAGGAACTTTCTAATTTGCAATGTTAAATAGCTTCCTAATTAGATCTTCTCCCTAAATTTTCGCTCAGAGAACCTTTACTCCTA